AGAGGCTTGTTTTGTCACAATTGAACACTCGTTCAGGTTTCAGGCCTTCAGCCTCTATGTACTCCTTGAATTCATTCGTGAATTTTGTAGCTGCAATTTTGTCCGAACTGGCAGCCTCGCCATGCCTTATCACACTGTGCATGCCACTACGGTTCTTAAATCTCTCAAACCAACCTTTGCTGGCCTTAAATTCACAAATATCAGTACTCGTTGCAGGCAATTTCTCTACCAAATCGTCATGGAACTGCCAAGTCTTTTCACAAATAATCGACGGCATAAGGCTATCTCCTGCTAATTGTTTCTCGTTTATCCACACCAATAATAACTTCTCAACATCTTCTAGTACTGGTGATCTCATTTTTGTCAGCATATTTACCCCCTTTGCAACAACAGCTTCCTTGATTTCGTTTTTCTTGGCCACGTTGGAAGATATGGTTGTACGGGATTTGTTATATACATCCTGCCATTCGGCCCAGTACGCCCTTCTATTGTTTATGTTTCTTAAATTAGTACATATTTTCGCACTTCTTTACAAAGGCTTGGCACTAGGAGTTTCTTGGAGCCATGGTACTTATTTGCCTTGATGCACTAAATATTGATGGAATATATGAAATATTTGTATGAACAGTGAAGGACCATAGTCCTGGTAAACAGTGGCACACTGGCTGGGAAGGAGGCCGAGGCGATCAGATGTGAGTACGTCCAGGAGAATGACGAATTAGCGAGTCACGACATTTGCGAGCCAATGTTTGGACTAAAATAACGCACGATCCACAAAGGATGACTGTCGAGCAAGATTACAAGGGACACTGTTACAGTGACCACCGCATAGCGACTTTAATCCGTGCAAGAGGGTCATGTTCGCGAATGATAATGGTATGCGATGAATTTTCCCCATAGAAATAATGGATCAAATTAATCGTGCAAGAACCCAAAAGTATGAAAAAAAAATTTTACCAATGAATATAATTTTCCTAACACAAAGAGAAGGATACTGCACAATAGTAGGTAGTACTGCACAATATATATTGTGCATGTATACTCTACTAAAATGAAAATAAATGACACTTTATTGAAGATGCAGCATTGACTGTGAGACACTGTGTCTGGGAGTGCCTTTTCCTCCTGAGTACTGTAGGTCCGTTTGGCATTTCTTCCAGAACAGGCTTATCACACTGTGTATGCCACTACGATCTTAAATCTCTCAACAACCTTTGCTGGCTTTAAATTCACCAATATGAGCACTAGTTCCAGGCATTTTTCCCTGTTCACCTGGGTGTTAGTCGACTGGTGTGGGTTGCATCCTGGGAGACAAGATTAAGGACCCCAATGGAAATAAGTTAGACAGTCTTCGATGACACTGACTTTTTTGGGTTATCCTGGGTGGCAAATCCTCTGGGGTTAATTGTTTCTTGGTATTCTCAATAAGCCACACCAACAATGGTGCTACAGCAGCAGCAGCAGCTGACAGTACTACAGCAGCAGCAGCAGCAGCAGAGCAGCAGCAGCAGCTGACAGTGCTACAGCAGCAGCAGCAGCTGACAGTGCTACAGCAGCAGCAGCTGACAGTGCTACAGCAGCAGCAGCAGCTGACAGTGCTACAGCAGCAGCAGCAGCAGCTGACAGTGCTACAGCAGCAGCAGCAGCTGACAGTGATACAGCAGCAGCTGACGGTGGTACAGCAGCAGCAGCAGCAGCTGACAGTGCTACAGCAGCAGCAGCAGCAGCTGACAGTGTACAGCAGCAGCAGCAGCTGACAGTGCTGCAGCAGCAGCTGACAGTGCTACAGCAGCAGCAGCAGCTGACAGTGCTACAGCAGCAGCAGCAGCTGACAGTGCTACAGCAGCAGCAGCAGCTGACAGTGCTACAGCAGCAGCAGCAGCTGACAAGTGCTACAGCAGCAAGCAGCAGCTGACAAGTGGCTACAGCAGCAGCAGCAGCTGACAGTGCTACAGCAGCAGCAGCAGCTGACAGTGCTACAGCAGCAGCAGCAGCTGACAGTGCTACAGCAGCAGCAGCAGCTGACAGTGCTACAGCAGCAGCAGCAGTTGACAGTGCTACAGCAGCAGCAGCAGCTGACAGTGCTACAGCAGCAGCAGCAGCTGACAGTGCTACAGCGCAGCAGCAGCAGCTGACAGTGCTACACAGCAGCAGCAGCAGCAGCTGACAGTGCTACAGCAGCAGCAGCAAGCTGACAGTGTACAGCAAGCAGCTGACAGGTGCTACAGCAGCAGCAGCAGCGGTGCTACAGCAGCAGCTGACGGTGTACAGCAGCAGCAGCAGCAGCTGACAGTGCTACAGCAGCAGCAGCAGCTGACAGTGATACAGCAGCAGCTGACGGTGCTACAGCAGCAGCAGACGGTGCTACAGCAGCAGCTGACGGTGGTACAGCAGCAGCAGCAGCTGACAGTGCTACAGCAGCAGCATGACGTGCTACAGCAGCAGCAGACGATGCTACAGCAGCAGCAGACGGTACTACAGCAGCAGCTGACGGTGGTACAGCAGCAGCAGCAGCAGCTGACAGTGCTACAGCAGCAGCAGATGATGCTACAGCAGCAGCAGACGGTACTACAGCAGCAGCTGACGGTGGTGCAGCAGCAGCTGTACCACCAATAGTAGCGATGGTTGATTGGGGTTTATTATACAACCTGGCCAGCTCGGAGACACGCACTCCACTTTCATACTTATCAATGATCTTTTTCTTCATCTCTATAGTAATTCTCACCCTTATTGCTGTAGGGTTGGCACTAGAAGCTTTCTTGGGGCCCATGGTCTCTTATTTTGCAGATAAAATCACCAAAAACACTGTAATAATACGAAATGTTCCGATTGTATGCTTGGATGTTACCGCGGAGGCTGGCTGGTAAACAATGCCACCGGCGGCACATGTGAGGCTGGCTAAGGGCGCACATTGGACACGTCTCGGACGAAGAGCGGTGAGCGGGTTTTTGAGCGGTATGCGAGGCAAAATTTTTGCGATAAAAGCGAGCGGTATGCGGATTGAACGTTATGTGATGCGTACGGTATGCGGGGGTCCACTGTATCTTGAAAGAGTACTGTACTTGCAATGCAAGTACAGTATAGCCTCTCCTCGCTTACCGACGTACTCGTTTACTGACGACTCAGATTTACGAAGGGCTCTGTGACCAGTATGCATACCTAAATAATGTATGAGCTGATTTCTTCTATTCTATTTATTACAATACGTATACAGTACACTACTGTATAAACACTTAAAAATATACCAGAAATGTTATAAATGGTGCAAATAATATCCAAGATGGTTGACATGTACCCACTACCATTATAATATGCTCCTCACTTAGCGATGAATTCGTTTACTGACGTGGTCTTAGGACCGTAACTCCGTCGTTAAGTGAGGAGAGGCTGTACTCTTAAGTATGTGCCTTGAAGAAGCCACTAATTTATTGAACATTTTGAGTTGGACCCCCTTAAGAATATAAGAGGCAGTGTTTCTAAAATGCTCCCCAATGTAGAAAAATTGTACCAGTGGTCTTTGGACATATGTACAGTAGTGCTGAGAGTTCATCCTCATTTTCACTATGCCCATGAAAAAGCATATATTGTTGCTCTTGCACAAAAAGCAGTATTTTGATTAAACATTATTCCAAATAGTATCTAAGTAGGCTTATTTTATGCACTGCAAAGATGCACAAGTCGTACGTTTTTCACATCCATTGGTAAAATGTTGCTCAGTTCAAGATTGACTTTATTCTGAAGGACAAAAGCCAACGCCTTTCATAACTGCTCCTCGACTTAGTGGGGTTACCTTCCAACAAACCCATTGTAAGTCTAATATGAATCATAGGTTAAATGAATAAGTAAACGGATAACTACTGTCACTGAATAAGTAAATAAACACATAATTACTATAACTAGGCAAATACCAGTTTTGAAAAGTAAATAAACGAATAAAAGTTACGGACGTGCCACCGTAATGTTGGGTAATTATTTTAAGTTTGATCTCCACAGTAATTGCTTTTGCATCATCATGAAGTTAAAATATTTGGGTACTGTGAAATTAATTTTTTCCACTGTGTTTGTATTAAACCTTGTGAGGGTCCAGACCCCCAATCAGATCTCTCCTTCCCCTCCCACCCTCTTCCTTTCCCATTTTTTCCTTACAAAATGGTTGAGAATCTTTTTCCAAAGGTAATTATCCCAAAAGTACAAAATTTGATGGAAGACTTGTAGAATTATGCTGGTGAAAAGTTATCAGTATCAGCGTAACTTATGCACAAGCGATTTCGCCCACTTTGAGTTAGAACATGATGGATGAACACTGCTGAAGATGTATAGAGCTCTAGAATAACCTTTGGACTCGGTTACTTGTACTACTTTTCAATATAGTAACACCAGATAGTCTTTTAGTCGTATACATACATAGACACTGCTCTTGGCTTCAGGTTTCTGCTTAGCATTTGAACCGCATTTACCACATTTTAACTAATATTAGCTTGTCCAAATCTTTCTGAAGTTTGGTGGTATCCTTCACCATGTTTTTTGGTCACAAAATGCCCCAGCCATAAGTTAATCTGGGAGTAATCTACTTGGACAGTATTTCACTAGTGGCTGTGTCCTTGATAACTAAACCACATTCGTCCAGCAACACAGCAAAGGGATTGTTAGTTGCAGCAGTTTTAGACTTCCTTCAACTTTAATCCTTTCCCCCCCCCCCTCTCCTATACAGATTTTTTTTTAGGCAACTTTTTTAAATGTGTAGTAGAATTGTGGAAGATTTGGAATGACGCCTTTGTGACTATGCACTTTTCATGCTTTTGTTCATTAATTTGTTCATTATTTCTGTGTCTCTGTCTCTCTCTCAACATTACAGAAACTCTAGTTTTCAGATTTTTTCCTTGTCAGCATAGTTTCCACATAATAGAATTTACTATTGTTGTAAACTCTTTAGTAGACGGTGAAAAGAAATATTTTGTATTTTAAACCATTTTTGCTTTTTAATTGCTTGTATTTTACAGATTTATGACCAGTTTGGTAAAGAAGGTCTTCAAACGGGTAGTGGTCCAGGGCCTACTAGGCCACGTTCATCTCGATCAGCAAGACATCACTACCGATTTGAAGATGACTTTGACTATACGTTCCCTACATTCACATTCAGAGATCCTGAAGAAGTGTTCCGTGAATTCTTTGGAGGTGATCCTTTTGCGGAATTGTTCAATTTTGATCCATTTGATCCACTTGGGCATAATGCTAACCGTCGTCGTCGGCAAGGTAGGCAACGAGGAAGCCCTCAACAAGGAGCATCAGCACAACATGTCAGTAACCAGAATTCCATCAGCAGTCATTTCTTTTCTCCTTTTGGTCCATTGTTTGGTCCACCCATGTTCTCACCATTCTCAGGTCTTGAAGGAATTGAGGGAGGTGGCAGCTTTACTTCTTTCTCATCTCACGCATTCAGTATGGGAGGCCCTGGTGTGAAGCGTTCATCCACTTCGACCAAATTTGTCAATGGGAAGAAAATTACAACAAAGAAGGTATCTGAAGGAGGCCAAGAAACAGTCATGACCTTTGAAAACGATGTTCTTAAATCTAAAACAGTAAATGGTGTACCACAAGCTTTACAGTATTAGGATGAAAGCCTGCTATGCCGAAGACCATGAGAAGTGAGAACTCTTGTATTGTACCAGATCTTAATGACTGGAAATCTTCTAATTCTTGATGAATGATTGGAAATATGCTGATCTTTAATGAGAGATTACAGTAATACTGTTTTGCTGACTGAGCCTAACTACTTTTGTTCTTTGTATGGATGCTTACTTTGTTTATAGGTGAGTCTATTAAGAATGGTGAAAGAATGTGACTTGTATGTCCTCTTAAGTTATTTTTCTCCCCTCTCCGCAGATGTTAAACAAACATCCTATTACAACTTTTGTGAACAGTGGGTATTGTGTAGTTTTGTCAAGTTGTACTTTGAAGAAGGGGGTTTAGCAAGGAGTTATGTATACTTACCAGTATTTTTTTTTCTTACACAAGTTGAGTAATTGGTGGAAGGATATGGTGGTAGATCAGTTTGCCATTGTTTTTATAGGAAGAGTTTTTAACTGCTCTTTTGAAACCCAGTCAAGCTATCCTGGAATGATTTTTCTAAATTATTATTCCAAGTTCAGATACATGATTTTTATTGAGTATTTTCTAAAGGTATTGTGTGCAGCCACGCTAAGATTTTCGAAGTACAGTACTGTATAACAAAATTTTGATTGGATTCTCAATTTTTTCTTTATAATTTATTAAAATGTTGCTTCTTCGTATAACGTGAAAAATTATTTTCTTTAATGGACAAGGTGATTTTTAATGCTTATTCATATTTCTTAGTGATTTCATTTTGTTGATTAGAAATGTGGGATATTGGTTAGAGCATTGCAGGATGCTTGAATTGTGAAACACAAGTTTTTAATGTAGTTGCAATATATGAAGTCTTGGTATTAGTTTTGCACATATGTGTAATCCATATTCTTTTGCTCAGGAGGAGCATTTCATTTCACTTGTGATCCATTTTGTTAGTATTCTACAAGAAAGATAATATTAGTCATATCACTAGCTTCTCCTCAGTAGGCATAAGATTTGAGTCGGTGTTCAAGCTAGTGGTAAGATGGTTGAGTTCAGACAAAATGAATACTCTTGATCACTTTTGTACAAGGTAAAAGGATTGTGTTCTGCCCAAATGAGAATGGTAAAATTACTAATTTTGTGGGACCGAGCACTCTTGGATGTCGGTGTACTTTGTTGGGAGCCATCTTATTTGAGATGGAAAATGGGTAATTGGTCACTTTTTTTATATATATAATTTTTTTTTTTTTTTTACATTATGTATTGAGGAATAAAAATGTACATTCCTCTACTAAATTGAAGTTCAGTCTTCTTGGATGTTAATGCAGTACCTTATGATAAAGTTCAAATTGGGCTGTAAATGTGAAATTAACTCAGGCCAAGTTTTTTCATGTTTGAGTACTAGCTTGCCTTCATCACTAAATAATATGCAAAGATCAGAATCCTTTTGGGAAAGATTGTGCCTTTAAGCTTGAACATTATTTAATGCTAATTTTCGTTGAACAGCAATGCTTTAAGTGTTTAGCAGCTCGTAATTATTTGTTCTTGAATACTTGTGTATTGATGGATTGTGAAAATATATATAATTGTGGCAATTTTTATGATTTAAGAGATGAACGTTGGATGTTTTGAGAGAACAGTCTTGTATTATTTTATTACATCTTCTGTTCAGATCAATGTAGATTTATTAATATTAATGGACATTTGTGCCATTTATATTAATAGCTTTTTTTCTTTTTCTTTTCTTTTCAAAATGTGATATTGGCATTCTGATCTCATTGCATATTGTCTAGAACCATGGCTTGGAGCATACTGTCTAATGTGTTATAAATTCTGAGACTTCTGAGACTGCAGTGTCAGTCTCAGTGAATGAGCATTGCACTTGCCAAAGATAAAGAATTTTTATTGCTTATGCCATTTGTATCAAAATTTTAAATGCCTAGTTTATAAAATTAATTTAAGTTTACCAATTTTTTTTTCTTTTGCCTTTTACATTAGCAGTAGTGAGGCGTAAGTAACATTCTTCAGTGACCTGAACTGGTGGTGATGGCAGCACTAGTGTAAGCAGGCAATGATGTTATTGATTTTGGAGGCATAAGTGTTACACAAAACTTTTTTTTGTTTAATATTTACTGTAAGATGTTTCCAGTTCGCATTTTTTTGCAAGGGAAATTCTCAGCGGCAGGCTTGGCCTACTTTTCAGGTGAACAGCTGTTTAAGCTTATTTACTCGAACCAGTTAGTGAAAACTGCAAAAATACTTCTTGATTTGTAGATTCCTGTGGTGTACAGCATTTTTTTTTTTTTTATACCTTGGAGCAAGTTAACACTTTGCACCAATTATATTAAATATATATACAGTATGTGTGTGTATATATATATATACATACCTACATACATCAGAATCCATTTATTTGTTAATGGTGAAGTTGTGTACAGCATGTATTTGATGTGTAATTTATCATGGTATATAATTTTTCCTGACTTAAAATATTTTGTTATACTGTATTTGTGAATGACACTCTGCCATTAATTATACTAATAATGTACTTAATGCCAGACTAACACTCGTAATATATTCTGGTGTCATTACATGCTTTGATAATAAGAGAGGTACTTTAGATTACATTGTAATGAAATGCCAAGCAATTCCAGAATAGCTCTTTGAAGCGATTAGCCAACAATTGGCAAGAGGGCAGAAAATATCTGTATCTTGTGTATGACTAATGCAAGTCTATTAGTCACGTGTAAGAAACACTTTAATATGATACTAATGCATATCCATTTTATCGGAAGTGAATTGAAAGTTTTATTATTTTTTAGCAACTTTCCATTCAAATGGAAATTGGCTACAAAAATAAAGAAGCTTCAAGAGTTGGATTTAAGGCTGTTACTGATGAGCACAATTTATATTGCATTAGCAAGGTATCCAAAGGTAACTTTAAAATGTTAAAGATAGCTTAACCTTGCTTTGATTGTATATGTAATATTTATGTAAACTATGAATAATAAAGTGTTTATAAACTTTACTTTCAACTTGCATTTTTTCCTTCAACATACTTTATAATAGTGTACTAATCTGTACAGCCACATTTGCCTTGCTTTACTATTGTTTAAAATTTAATAAAGTACAGTATTAAGAAAAACGTAAGACTTTTAAGCTGCTTTAACAACTGGTAATGTTTTTAAAAAGGTGAGGAAAGTTGAATGTTCATTGACCTTCAGTGTAAACTGATTCCATTGAATAATTTTTTGGGGGTTGATAAAACTACGGTACTTAAAGCGGATATGTCGAAGCAACAGTTCAAAGCCAGTATGGAATCTTCACAATTTTGATAGTCAATGGTGACATTCAAGTTTTGTACAAGAATATTTATTGTACATCCTGCTTGCAATAGTGACTGTTGTGATGCTGTTAGCCTAAAAGCAACAATAAATTTGGTTGGAAATATTTTATAGAAAAATAATTTTCCAGTTCTGAGGGAATGAATTTGAATGGGCTTAATGCTTGGTTTTTAATTTATTGAAGTATGTTTTGATCAGTATTGAATAGACCCCTGGTTGCCTTCAAGAAGGAGCAGGACAGATACCTAAATCAGTGCCGGATCAGCTAGGCTGTGGTTCGTACGTCTGACTACGTACAGCCAGCAGTAACAGCCTCATTGATTAAGCCCTGATCCACCAGCAGGCATGGTTATGGACCAGGCTGTGGAGGCGTTGATCCCTGGAATAGCATCCAGGTAGACTCCAAGTAAATACATTTTCATTGAAGGATTACAAAATAGTACAATATCTCTTAGAGATTTGCTTAATAAATGCAGTAATTAAAAGTGCAAGTGATGTGGTAATCTGTCATGTGTAATTGATAATGTATAAGAAATTGGTAACAGCAAAACTTGATACTGTACAGTTAAGAGAGCCAAGATACATAGCTGTAACACTGCATTACTGAATGTTTTTTATGTAGTTTTGGTTTAGCACACAAGAATGTAATAGTTATAAAGGAATATTTAAAGAAAGGGAAAAAGACTGAAAGATTACTTGCTGGCAGGAGGCTATTGATTATTCCTACATTTTGTGAAAACGGTTGGCAAGCTGGTAAGGGTAGCATGAAGTAATGTCTTGACAATATCTTTTACAGCTTTCATACAATACAGTATATTGTATAACCTCATAACTGTTTCACGAAAACTTTCTACGTTGGTGAGAATGTGTATGTACAGTTAAAAGACAGCTATATAATTGTTTATGATTTATAGGAATACTGTACTAGTAAATGCGCGTTAATATGGCTATAAATTAAAATCAGTCAGAAAACCTATGGGAGATTTCGTCATTCTCATAAGATTATAACTCATTAAAAAAAAAAAAAAAAAAAAAAAAAAATTAAGAAGTCGGCAGTCTCTCACCGAGGCAGGGTGACCCAAAAAAGAAAATCCCCAAAAAGAAAATACTTTCATCATCATTCAACACTTTCACCTCACTCACACATAATCACTGTTTTTGCAGAGGTGCTCAGAACACAATTTAGAAGCATATACATATAAAGAGACAACATATCCATCCAAACTGCTAATACAGTGGACCCCCGGTTAACGATATTTTTTCACTCCAGAAGTATGTTCAGGTGCCAGTACTGACCGAATTTGTTCCCATAAGAAATATTGTGAAGTAGATTAGTCCATTTCAGACCCCCAAACATACACGTACAAACGCACTTACATAAATACACTTACATAATTGGTCGCATTCGGAGGTAATCGTTATGCCGGGGTCCACTGTATCCCGAAACTCCTCCTTTAGAGTTCAGGCACTGTACTTCCCATTTCCAGGGCTCAAGTCCGGCTATTTAAAAATAACCGGTTTCCTCGAGTCCCTTCACTAAAAATTACCCTGCTCACACTCCAACAGATCGTCAGGTTCCAAATACCATTCGTCTCCATTCACTCTTATCAAACACTCTTGCACGCCTGCTGGAAGTCAAAGCCCCTCGCCCACAAAACCCCCCTTACCCCTTCCTTCCAACCTTTTCGAGGACGACCCCTACCCTGCCTTCCTTCCCCTACAGATTTAAATGCTCCTCCAGGGTCATTCTACTTTGATCCTTCTCTCTAAATGCCCAAAACCACCTCGACAACCCCTCTTCAGCCCTCCGACTAATACTTTTATTAACTCCACACTTCTCCTAATTTCTACACTCCAAATTTTTCCTGCATAATATTTACACCACACACATTGCCCTTTGACAGGACATCTCCACTGCCTCCAACCTCCTCCTCGCTGCTGCATTCACAACCCAAGCTGCACACCCATATAAGAGTGTTTTGGGACTACTATACTTTCGTACATTCCCTTCTTTTCCTCCATAGATAACGTTTTTTGTCTCCACATATACCTCAACGCACCACTCTCCTTTTTTTCCTCATCAATTCTATGATTAACCTCATCCTTCATAAATTCATCCGCCGACACGTCAACTCCCAAGTACATATCTGAAAACATTCACTTCTTCCATACTCCTCCTCCCCAATTTGAATAATACGTAATTTAAAAGATGTTTGAAAGTATGTAATTGTTCAATGTAGTGTAAAATAATTATACAAGTTAAGCTTAATGAATACTTATTTATAACTAAAGAAAATTGTAAAAATTATATACAGGGATGTGCAAAGAACAGGAAGTAGTGAGGGGCCAGGAGCATGCAAGGGTAGGGAGTTAGTAGGTGCAAGAATAAGTCATATTAGAATTGGTGCAATAGGTTAGTTTCTTAAAAAAAAAATCAGAGGGCCTGCGTCAAAGGTGGAAGTTTTAGCGCAGCTCAAAATAAATGTCCTTGGATGGTATGTACGTGCACATACCATCAAGGACATTTATTTTTGAATCTTGCCCAAAATCCCACCTTTGATGCAGTTCCTCTGATTTTTTAAGAAACTAACCTATTGCACCAACTCTGATATGGCTTTTACTCTTGCACTTTCACCACCCCTATTAACCCCCCTCCCTTTTTCACATCCCCCTTCACGCTTCCTGTTTTTTGCAAGTCCTTCCATTCGCAAATCCCCCTGCAGTGTTGTAACCCCTTGGTTGTAGGCTTAGCTCCTTTTTTTTTTATTTCATTATTTATTGCAGAAATTATATTGTAAGTATCTTTTAATTTTTCAGCAGTGAAAGCACATATTAAACGGTTTTTTATACAGGGGCCCCCCGGGTTTAACGATATTTTTTCACTCCAGAAGTATGTTCAGTGCCGTACTGACCGAATTTGTTCCCAAAAGGAAATTGTGAAGTAATTAGTCATTTCAACCCCCAAAACCCTACACGTACAACGCATTTACAAAAATACACTTACAAAATTTGGTCCTTTCGGAGGTGATCGTTATGGGGGGGTCCACTTATGTATTAGGGTATTTAATATATGATATATATTGTATATATATATATATATATATAATAAAATATAATATAATATAAATGTAATAATATATAAATAATATATATATATACACACACACAATATTATATAAAATTATATATATATATATATATAGTGTGGTGTATATATATAATATAATGTATATATTTTATATAAATTTATATATATAATACATAAAAATGTATATATTATTTTATATATAAATGTATAATAAAATAATGTAAAATATATAATATTATATAAAATGTATATAATAATATATAATGATATATATAATATATATGGTATATATTATATAAATAATATTGTATAAATTGTAATATATATATATATGTGTATATATTATAAAAATTTTAAAAATTTTGTATAAGAATAAAATATTTTATATTGTTATAATATATTATATTATATAAATTAAAATGTTATATATATTATATTTTTTTTTTTTTTTTTTTCAACAAGGGGGGCCGTCTCCCACCAGGCAGGGTGACCCAAAAAAAAGAAAAAAAAACCCCCAAAAAAGAAAATACTTTCATCACTTTCAACACTTTCACCACACTCGCACATTATCACTGTTTTTGCAGAGGTGCTCAGAATACAAATTCTAAAAAGCATAAACAATAAAGATACACAACAATCCCCCAAACGCCAAAATCCCCAAACCCCTCCTTTTTAAATGCAGGGATTTTACTTCCCATTTCCAGGACTCAATCCGACATAGAAAATAAACCGGTTTTTCCCTGAATCCCTTCACTAAATATTACCCTGCTCACACTCCAAAAAGATCGCAGGTCCCCGTACCATTTTCTCCACACTCCTTTTAACACGCTCACGCACGCTTGCTGGGAAATCCAAGCCCCTTACCCACAAAACCCCCTTTACCCCCCCCCCTCCAACCCTTTCGAGGACGACCCCTACCCCGCCTTCCTTCCCCATAGATTTATATGCTTTCCATGTCATCTAAACTGTGATCCCTTTTCCCCTAAATGACCAAACCACCTCAACAACCCCCCTTCTGCCCTCGCTAATACTTTTTTTAACTCCAAACCTTCTCCAATTTCCACACTCCGAATTTTTCCCGCTAAAATTTTCACCCCCCATTGCCCTTAAACAGGGCATCTCCCTGCCTCCAACCGCTCCTCGCGCTGCATTTACCACCCAAGCTTCACAACCCCAAAAAGAGTGTTGGTCACTAACTTTTTATACATTCCCTTCTTTCCTCCATAGATAAAGTTTTTTTTACTCCACAATACCCAACGCACCACCACCTTTTTTTTCCCCCATCAATTCTATGATTAACCCCATCCTTTATAAATCCATCCGCCGACACGCAACTCCCAAGACTGAAAACATTTACTTCTTTCCCTACTCCTCCTCCCCAATTTTATACCAATTTTTTTTTACAAATCATTTGACACCCCACACCTTACTCTTTTCTAGTTTTACTTCAACTTTCACCTTTACAAAACATTCCCAAACTCATCCACTAACCTTCGCAATTTTTCTTTTGAATCCCCAAAGCACAGTATCATCAGCAAAAAGTAACTTGTCAATTTCCCTTTTGAATTTGTTTCCCCTAATTTAATCCCACCCCTC